CATATACCTCCTTTCCATACCCCTTCCTTCTGCATTTTTCCCCCCCTCCTGTTGGTTTTATACGAGACTTCTAAGTGTTAACCTTCAAATTCCCTGTTAGGTCAGAAAAGTGTTGAATTGAGTGTCTTTTTTTCACAACTACAGAGACACACATCTTCTTCATCTTATAAACTCCCAGCAGTGAAATGTCTATTAATAAAAATTTCATTGCAGCTTTCTCCTGGGGAGTCCTATTTTTCTGATTGCTTGATTAGCCATCAGTTTAACCCATAACTTCCCCTGCTTGAGGATTTACCATTTTGAAATGGCAATTTTTGCCTACATATATGCTCAGCTTCACAGATAAAATGCATAAATACATAAAGATCTTGGTTAATGCCTTGCAGGCATTGACCAAGTGTACTTCTATACATCTACAGGTGCACATCTACATACACGCTGTATATCTACTTACAACATGGACACATACATGCATGTACCTGCGTTTCCACATCATGCATGCAGGCATACAAACACACCTATATGCAATGTATTTTTTTCTCTGAAAGCAGAAAAGAGGCATTTCTAAAAGTGTGTGCCTGTTGCCTGCAGCACAGTCATGCAGCACAGAGCTGAGGCTGTCCGGGCTCCCTCCCTGGATGAAGATGTATTTTTCTGTGAGTCCACCCCTGAATGGTCACTCAACTCCTCCACCAAGGGAAGGCCTCCCCCTTTCAGACTAACCAAGCACTCTTAATATTTGGACAGGGCTGGCTTTTCTGAGCAGGATGTGTCAAGAGACAGGAGGCAAAGGACTGCAGGTGAGTGGCACAAAGGTGTCCTCTATTCTGAAGCCCTTCCATGTTGCCGAGGCTTTGGTTTATCTGAAAAGGAGAGAGAAGCAATAAAAGAAGTAAAATGCATTAAGACTAAAGCAGTGCAAAACATCACCCCGTGCTGCCTTTCATCAGAAATGAGTCTCCAGCTCATTCACTTCCCCCCTCTCTCTGCAGGATCCTGGGATATCCTGACCTCCATCTCTCTCAAGCAGCAGTGCAGGGGAGAGGCAGATGCTTTTCTCTGGATCTCGACCACCAGGGAAGAGGCTCAGCATTTTAAACTCCCACCTGTTCTTCTCCTGAGCACAGTGGTCAGTGATGAAGATGACAGCAGCCAATAACATCCCCCACCTGTCCTTGGGATGTCCCTTGCTCTGCAGAGGAAGAGAAGGGTCAGTGATGTTGTGGTGCCTGGAGCAGCAGAGTAGCCAGCGAGTTGTCACGGCTGAACAGCCCAGCAGCCGGCCGTGTGCGTGCTCTTGTCACACATGTGACAGGGAACAAGCGAGCCAAAGCCACACAGACCCAGGGCCAGGGGCACCGGCTGCACTGATGTGCCGTGACTCGTTAAACTGCGAGCGTGGCTTGCTGTTCCCTGCGGGTCAGGAGACACAGGAGCAATCTGACAGCGGCAGGGAGAGTGCGAAGCCCAGCAGCTCCAACAGGGGGAAGCATTTTTTGCTATAGCTCCTTGGTAGCTTCAGCCTCCAGCTGAACATGGGGTCCAGCTGTGTGCCTAACTCCTTGGGGCATGGCTGCTTTCTTGTGCCTGTCCGCTGGGGTCTAGCCCACTTGCTACAGACCTTTGTCCTGTTGCTTCGTCTTCAGTCATAAAATCTCTTTTCCCCTGAAGGAAATGAGATATTTTCCACCTCAGAACCTCAGGGAGTCAAATAAAAGCTGAAGAAGTGAAAGGGTAGAGGAGGACGGAGAGAATGGGTATGAGAGGACACCAGAAAGAAAGCATGGGCAACCAGGAAGATGTGGAGTGACTCAGAGGTTTTGATGCCTGTGGTGGGTAGGTGGGGTGTGAGGAGGTCTGGGCAGGTTGAAGAACTTGTCCCTCTGCCCCTGACACCTACCTGGTGCCTTCAGATGGGCACTCACAGAGATGGGCTCTGCCAGGGTAGCTCTGGGTGGCTGGTGCCTGCATTGGGACTGAGCTGATGCTGAGGCAGAAGGTGATGCTGAAAGGGCCATCTCAGCTTTGCCAGTGCCAGGAGAAATGTGTGTTTGGGAGAGGAATTTCTGTGTTGTGGCAGGTCAGACTAGTCTTCACACCTCTCTCAAATGATGCCACTGCTGGAATGACATGAATTCTTGGAAGTTCTGGAGGAGGCAAACAGGGAATTGATTTATTGGTAGCACAGTACAAAAGTCTGTACACAATGGAAAGGAGTTGAGCAACCTGTGATGACGGGTGTTGGGAGCAGTGGTAGGAGAGTGCAGGACAGTTTCAGTGCCTGAGGACAGGGGACTCTTGTCCCCCAGGAACTTCCCTTCCTCACTGACCAAACACAGCTGAGTGATTGCTGGGCCTGGTGCTGTGGAGTGGACAAACAAACAAATGCTACATCTCTTGTCTCCCAGGCTCAGTCCTTGCAGCCAAGGGATGGGTCCCCACTTCCTAGCAGCTTTGATACAGCCACATGGACTTTTGGCCACCTGGTCACCTGTAGTCAGCATTGTTCCCTCCTTGGCTGCTGCAGTGGGTTTTTCTGAGCAGCAGGGCAATGCTGACCCTGCTGGAGAGCCACGGAGTGACCATAAGCCAGGACATAAGGCAGGGCCTTCACCAGGCCACTGAAAGTTGTGTGTGGGGATCTCAGGGTCCACCTCCTCCCCATCCCAGACCATACATAGGATTCTGCATGGGGGATGGATACTGACTGGCAGTGGACCCCTCTCACCCTGTACCATTTTCCTCTCTGGAAAAGCATTCACCTTTAGGAGGACCCTGTTTTCACTGGGTGACCTTCACTACAGGGGTGGGGGTGCAGGAGAAGCCCCACACTGGCTACCAGAGCTGCCTCACTTTCACTCTGACATAGCTACAGGGAAAAAAACCCCTACATTTAAACCTATTAACTCTTCCTGCACCAAGCTTGGGAGCCTGGAGGCAGCAGGGAAATCAGGCACAACTGCTGGTGTCAAGGAGCCCTTCCCAACCTGCAGTGTTTGAAAGCAGTCACCTCTCTGCATATTTGCTTTTTAGACTACTTTATTTTTGTGAAAGACTTGGAGGCTGAAGAGGGTTTCTTTTTATTTTCTTTTTACTTTTTTTTTTTTTTTTTTTTTTTTTTTTTTTTTTTTTTTTTTTTTTTTTTTTTTTTTTTTCCTGCAAAACCTTCTTCAGCTGGAAAGAAGATGGTTGCTCTGCAGTGCATGAGCCAGCTCCAGCTCCCCTTTAGCCCAGTGGGTGTGTAGTGCCATCAGCAGCTGCCAATTCAGCCCTGGCTTTGCAGGAAGAAACATCACTGGGGATGAAACAAGCTGCGAGAAAGGAAATGGATGAGCTCTGATGGTGTTTAACTTCTGCCTTTTCTCTGTCTTTCAAACACATGGGGAGAAGTTGGCTGCTTCTCTGCTGGTCTGTTTCCTCTCCTCACAGTAACAGAACTCACCCTTGCTGTGGGCAGCTAAAATCATGGATACACACCTGCAGGAAACCATGATAACCACCAGACACATCTTGGAGGTCTGGATACAGACTCTGCATCCCAGTCCCATCCTCACTCACCAGTTCAGTCCTGCTTGGAAAAGCCTCACAAGGAATGCTAACTCCTCCTGCAGAAGCTATGCTTAGGAGCCATGAGCTGTCAGATGTGGCCTGCCAGCCATAAGCAGGCAGATGCTCTGCCTGGTGCCTCTCCAGGGTAAGGTCACACACACCTGCCAGCACACCTGTGAGTCCCTGCCAGGCTGAGATGTGCTCACCTGTGCTCCCCTGGCCCTACAGGGGCCAGCACTGTTGTCCAGCATTATCTGTGCTCCCAGAGGGCACCCATATATTCCAGCAAAGCACAGCTTTACCATGAAGGCATTGAGCTCCAGAGAGCCATTCAGTGGTGCTACAGCTGCTGGGAGATCTGTTTTCCTACTCAGGGAAATGAAAACCTGTTAAATCACTATGTGATGACAGATAAGGAGGTATCAATGAACAGAGGCCTAGGCATCAAGGGGAAAGAATACACTCATTGTGATGAGAGAAACAACAGCAGACAAAAGCAGTAGCCAAAGGACCATCCAGTCCAGCTAAGGGAAGCAGGTGAGGCCAGAGTGGCAGATGCTGGTGCACTGAGGGAATCTCAAGCGATGCTGTGGAATCAGAAAAGTGATGCTGGGAGACCTCCAGAGGTCTCTGGTCCAACCTCTGACTCAGACCCATAACTTTGTCCAGCCAAATCTGCAAACCCGCCAAGAGTGGAGAGACTGCCACCTTTCTGGGGACCTGTTCCAGTGTTGCTTTTCTGCCCTTCTGGTAAAAAACTCCTTCCTGAAGTTCAGCCTGAGCTTACCAGGATTCGGCTTGTTGTCACTGTCCCTTGATACATCACCTGCTACTATTGAGAAGACCTTGGCTCCATTATCTTTATAACCACCTTCTAGATATTGGTAGGAAACAATATAGGGTGTAAATTAGATACTAGGAAAGTACCAGGAACATGGTAGCTTAACAGTCATCCCCAGTGTTAAAAATTCTGCTGTTTGGGGCTGGTAGAAAGGAAAATAAAACTAGTTCATTAATATAATATGTTTGATGTCACAGGTTGTTTAGATGGAACTCAGAAAGCTAAAAGAGGCTTTTCTCTGGTGCAGCTCTGTGTCAGCCATGAACTGCTTGCGTTCATACCTGGATATGTAGAGAGAGAGCAAATATTAAGAGAGATAAACCCCAATAAGAACTCTGCTGACATCGGGAAAAGAACTTGACATGGGAAAATAACAGATTTATGGACCAGTGAATAATCTCATCATTATAATGGGCCTCAGGCCTATGATTCTCATCATGACATGACAAATTCCTTCACCAAACCATCACTGAACCTACAACAGATTTGTTAGCTGTAAATAGCAATTAAGTCATAGAGCAGGTGGCCATCAAAAATAAATTTGGAGTGTGCAATCACAATTTCCTTACATATAAATTCAGTGGGAAGATAAATAAGAATAAGCCTGCACTGCATATGCATGTTTTATTTCAAAAGAAATTAAACTCCAAGGAATTAAACTCCAAAAGGAATTAAGCTCCAAGGAACTTTGAGAGTCTTTAGTGTGGAATGCAGTGGTAAGGAAACTCTATGTGAAAAATGCTCAGAATTTCTGAGAGATGTGCAGTGTCTCTGGAATATGCAAAGCAAAGAAGCAAAAGCCCCTTGGATGAGCAGCCACAAAATAAAGGGTAAGGAGAAAACTTTTCTTCATATGTTTGTAGATATAATGTAACATTAATCTGGAAAATGGATTTTTAAAAGAAAATATAGTTTTTCATTTAAGTAAATAACTGAACCAGGAAGGAGAAAGTGGCTGTGAAAAGAAGATGAGGTCAAACCTAAAAATCTTTGTTAAAATTAAATAAATACAAAACATATATAAATAAAAGTCTTCAACCAGCAAAATGATAGTGAAGAGCAGAGCAGAGGACAGGAGCATAATTAATATGACAGTACAGGAATTGCCACCCCCAGTTTGAAGGCAAAATTTATGTGATGAAGTAAAAAAAATAAGCTAAGACCTGAATTTGAATGTATTTTTTTATACCATAATATTTTTTTATTCCCAAGAATGCAACAAAGAGTTACAGAGTTTCACAAAATAACAGGCACTGTTCAGATAAACTTTGCCTTATCTGCGCTCTCTCAGTTTTGGGAATTGGAGATCCATCAGAGAATTCCTTCCTTCAACCCAGACTTAGGATACATGTCAGTAGGTCACTTGCCCTTTCACCCCTTAAAAATTTTCATCTGCCCCATGTTACTGTATAGCACCAGTTAGGAATTTCTGGAGTATTTGTCAAGGAAATGCTTTTATCCAGAAAACCTCTGGTTTTGGCAGCACATCCCAGCTCCTTTCATTCTTGTGCCCTTTCACCTGTCTCCTCTTGCCCCTCCTCACACCAGCTACAAAGAGGCAGGTCTCTATCCAAACCCATTACCTTTTCTGTTTCTTGTCTTCTCGTGTCATGAGTTTTTTTGCCCTGTTCTGACCCTTCTGATTTCCATGATTCCTTCATTTCACTTCCACTTTTCCAGTGAGAGAAAACACTGCAAGACATGTCAGACTGGGCTGTGTGGAGTACTGCTCTTGCACTTCACAGGACTTGTGGACAGCACAAACAAGATCAAAGTCATGAAGATCCAGAGTGTGAAGGCTGGACTGAGAGCAACCTCAATGCTCTGCTGGAATTGGATCCCCTTTTCCAGTTCAGACCCTGCCAAAACAATAGACTATTTTGAAAAACACCACATGCTCAGTTTCTTCTAACCAGATTACTCAAACTGAGATTTAACCAAAGTTTTCTTGGCCAAATTACAAACTCAAACCAGGAGCTAAGAACTTGCTGAACCCAAACCGAAGCCTCTCGCCTTTTAAATAAGCCAACATTGTGCTCACCAAGACACAGAGTGCAGGAAAATTCAGTTCTTTCCAGCTCCTAAATCTTCTGCTGACTCTGCTAATGGCAGGAACATCAACACTGAGCTAGCTTGGCATGACCCTTAGATTAATAAAACTGCATCTGACACCAGCCTGCAGCTCTCCACCCTGGGTAAGGCTGGGATGCCCTGTAGGAATACCAGAAGGGAAATGATCCAGTCTCCTGGATGTTCTATGCACACTCTGGCTGATCCCACGAGGTAGAGGTTACAATATCCCTAACTCTAACCTGCACCAACCTTTGTATTTCTAAAGGTTGCATCCCCCTGAAGTCTGACTCAGGCACCCCCTGTGGAGGAAAGAAGCAGGATCCATTTTAACAAGGCTGGAACTGAAGTCGTGCCTCTCCAGGAGCAGGGAGTGGCAAGAACAAAATCCTCTGGAACTGACAGAATGCAGCCAGGAGCAGAATAGCAGCAGTGCTGGTGACACTAAAGGTAAAATGAGCCAAATTCACACCTGACATAGGCCAAAATTTCAGGGCAGCCACAGCACTTTACAGCAACTACAGTGGCTGATCATGTGAGAGATCGTTCACAGGCTGAAATTTTTCATGGTCTCCTGCCAGCCTTGAGCACTGACTTACTCTGAGGTCTTGTTATTTAAGCAACTTTTTTCCACCCTCCCCAGATTATCCACAAAAGTAAGTGGCTCCATTTTCAAGCACCCAGCATAGATTCTGGCACTCAATGCATTTTGGACATGCATTTGCAGATACTGTGGTCTGCAGCTGTGGTTGGGTGCTCAGCATCTTTCAAAACCAGACATATGATAAGTGAAGAATGAGGCCCTGATGTAGAGACCTAGGAATTCTAGGTCTCTTAGGAATTCCTACAGACCTAGGAAGTCTAGGAATTCTGGCTGTATGTTTTCACATCTGTCAACTTTGCTGGGTAAACCAAGGAGATAATATTGGGCAGCACATGTTACATGGAATGTTTTGAGGATAGGTGAGTTTTTGTAAGCAGCTTTAAAGAATAGAGTTTGTTTTTGTGCAGTGGCCTTAAGCCTCAGGATGAAGGACCAGAGTGTCTGGTTCTAACTGCTCCTGGCCCAGCTTAGGTTCCTTGTGTTCACTTCTTTCCGTTTCCTCTTCATAAACCTGGGATGCTAATTGTGTTTTCTGCAGGATACCTGTGCAGAGAAGTTTATTTTCATGTCTAGAGCACATCCCAGCTCCCAGCAAGGCTCTCCTGCCTGAGACAGAGAGATGAAAGCCAGACCTCAGTCCTGGGCTCACACTTCTGGCTATGAGGTTAAAAAAGAAAGGGGGTGAGTCAGCACCCTGTGGCAGTGTAGTGGTTGCAAACTGTCCTAAACTGACAAATAAATTTATGGCTGTTTCAGAGGAATCTCACCCACCACCACATCCATGGCATTTCTGACTAGCACCACTGAAATGGTTTCAAGTAGTGTAATGGGACAGACACTGCTGGTAATATGCCTGTTTTCTCTCATCTGTTGCCTCAGCAAGCCCATTCTGGTTTAAGTTAGTGTATTTATTAAAAGATAAGCCAAATCCTAATCACTTTTCTGCTCCGTAAAAAAAGATTCCATACTCCAGACCATTCAACTGAAGCAAACATTATCCATACTGTTATCCATACTGAATGGGTTACTGAATTACTTTTCTTTTATGGAAAAGAATAATATTTCTTTGACATCCTCTTTTCAGTTGCTTACAATCAGAATTCACAATTTACAACTGCAAAACTGAGTTGGTAAGGCATTCTAAAAATGATTTTTAATATTCTTTGATTGTTTTAATGAATTTTCAGATAAAACACAGAAAGTTGTTAGTTTAAAATATAAAAAGTTAATTGAGTCTCAAAAATTGTTTGCTACTTGGTTACTTCTAACAAAGAGCAAGTTTGTTTGCTTTGGTTTGGCTTGAATGCTCCCATGAGCTCAGCTTTAGGCTTATACTCAGCTAGGTGTGATTGTCTTAGTCAGGGTCCTAAATTATGGTCAGTGGCCCCGCAGTGGATTCCCGAGTTCTCACTGGAGTTTTAATTAATTCATATAATTTTGGGGCGTCTTTTTCTTTTGCCCATGTCTCAGAGCAGGTTAGCAGTCCCTAGGTCTGCCAGGCAGGATGGTATCTACTTGTGCTCCAAGAACTTGGCTTTCCAGACAAAACTAAGGTGTTTCAGATCTATTTGAGCTAAGTACATTAACTGCTCTTGCTTCTCTCAGGCACATGGTACAGGAGCAGCAGCCTACCTTCAAGGATGTAAAAATGTTTTCAAATAAGATCCTCATTGCTTTCTTCAGGATGCTGTATTAAACCAGGAACAGAAAACAGAAAGCATGTGATGTTAGTAAGCAGTGGTTGAAGCTTTAACAATTTAATGCGGGGAAAAAAAAATGCAGAGGTTTCAAATGCAGTTGGGGAGAAGCCAATTTTGTACGTCCAAAGGAGAGTTGGAAGCAACAACCTTTACACCTGAATCCCCAAATCTTCATCTCAGAGCCCTGAAGGGAGCAATGTCAGAGGGGAAGCAAGTTGTTCAGACTCTGTGCCTGAAAGTAGAGACCAAAGTCTTTCGAGTCTGCTCCCGAGATTCGCTCATGCCCGTCAGCAGCACGGGGTCTGTCCTGTGCTCTGCCTGGTAGAAGGGACAATTCCTCAGGTGCTCTGACATGCTCGGGACGTCGCTGCGCTGCCAGTTGTGAACTCTGGAGAACAGGCTGCTGAACTGCCAGATCTAATGCAAGAGAGGGGACAGGAATTGGGGAGAGGAAATGAGGATTTTAAATACCTGTCTATGCTTACAATGGGTGTACATTACTCACTCTAGATGCTGCAATGAACGTCTGATGGTGCAGGGCTGGCATAGCAAGTGAAAGTAGGGTGTGTATTGTTATGTACCTCATACTTGCTGGTTTTGCTGCTTTAGTTATCACTTGCCATTTTTAATGGGGATGGTAATACTTAAATATCAGGAATTCTTAGTTCTCAGTGCCTAGAAGTGGTGCACATGCAAATGGGTTACCCAAGATGAACTTGGGTGGGGACTTTCAGAAAATGTCTAGTTACACCTTCATCCTTTTGTTAGATGTACTGCACTCTACAGCCCTGGCCCCTGACAAAAAAAAAAACCCTGTGCAAATTCACAACCTCATGAACCTTCCCCACGTCTGCACGTTTACATGCAGCTTTTCTTGTCATTCCCATGTTTTATCTGAAGAGAACACATGACTCTTTTTCCCAGTGTCACAGTCACTTGCCTTTTTGCGAGCTCTCCAAGAAGTACCACCATGGGAATATCTTTTTTTCTCCCAAACCAGCAGGACCATTCCCCTCTCTTGAAGAAGAGTTGCACAGATGTCCCTCATGAGCACTGACACTTGTGATAGCTGAGATAAACTGAAGCTGTCCAGGAATCCTGCAATGTACTTGAGCACTTCCACTGGGAGGCTGCTCAGCAAGTCCTTGTTTCTCCCTCGACTATCCACTATGGAATTGCACTTGCCCGGTTCAGCAAGAAGGGTGTCCACCTCTGGCTTAATAGCAAATGTCTTGAGAGGCTTGCTGTAAATAACCTTGGCCTTAAGTCCCTCGGGGCGGAAGTGATTTTGGACAAAAGGACATCCCAAGTAGGCCAGTGGGCAGCGATGCTGGAACCATCCATCCAGGCATGACTGGATATCAGCATGCACATTCTTGAAGTGGAATGGGAACTCATCCCTCCTAAAGAAATGACTGCAAGTGAACGTGAAAGCTGAACTGCTTTTGTTGTGTCTTCTGGTTACACATTCAGTGTAGAGCTCCATGTGCAGTTCTGGTGGGCTGTTTTCATCCAGAATATCTGCTAGAACTGCGCTGGAGGAGAAAGGCTCCAAAGGAAAGCTGTATGTCTGTGTTGCAAAATCCACAAAGAGTCCGTCGATACCTCTTGCTTCAGAGATCTCATGACCTTTCAGCTCTTTTTCCAGAGCACACAGTAGCGTGGCTTCAACTATATTTGTCTTAGGTAGTTCTTCTATGCTTATTCCCAGTTCTGAGGTATCCACTGACTTGTCTGAAGTTGGCATCTTGTGGCCCAGTGCATCTCCTAGTCGTGCTCTTTTGCCACAGTAACTAACTGGCACTTTGAAGGTGTAGACAGTCTTCACCTCCTGGGCTTCCAAGTTCCCATAGACAAAGTCCTTTTCTCTGGGAGTGCACGCAGCCATCTGGCCAAAACGGATGAGCATTCCCCCGTGATGTACCAGATACATGTTGTAATCCGCTACACCGACTTCCTTCTTCAGCCTCTCCAGGACTCCTTCTTGCCAGGGAGCCAGTCCATTCAGTTCTCTACTCGGTGTTACTTGTTCAGACTTTTGGCCCTTTCCCTCTTCTGCACCATCAGGTCCTTCCTTTGCCTTGTCTGTGGAGCTGGCAGCACGAGAGGCTGATGCTGTTTTCTTGGAAGCCTCCTCTGTCTTTTGTCCTGTGCTGGCTGCTGAGCCTGTTACCTGGCAAGCCAGAAGCTCTTTGCTGAAAATGTTCTCCCATGTCTTGTAACTCCCCAGATCCATTCCCTCTTTGTCCTTTGCTAAATCTTCCCGCTCACGTTGGCTGAGCTCAGACTGGTCATTGCCCTCTTGGGAACCACAGGCAGCTCCTCCCTCAGCACCTGCTTCCCCACCCATGGCTTGATCCATTAGTTCTTCCAGTTCATCCTTTTTCCTCCACTCTGGAAATAATTCAGCTATTTTCAAAGCCCTGAAAAGTATCTTCTGGTCTCTGAGTGCCAAAGCTGTGTCCAGACATTCTTCATTCAAGGTCTCTTTCATAATATTCTTGTGCAGCGTTGTGTCTGAATCCACGTTTGGCCAGCGGTTCCACTCCATGGAGCAGCAGACAACACTTGCTGGGCAGACCTGGAGGTGCTTCCCCAGCTTAAAGCGGGCCATGGAGAAAGGGCAGCCATAGGCTGAGTTGAGGCAGGACACCTGCTCCAAGGGGCAGAGCAATTTGTGCTCCTCCTCCTTGCACATGTGGAAGGTGGCCCCGCAGTGGAGGTGGCAGCTGATCACCATGCAGGACACGGAGATCTCAATGGGTGCGCGGCAGTGCCGGCTGAAACATCGCTCACAGTGCCTGTGTTGCCCAGGGGGAGCTTTCTGGGCCCGGTGCTGTTTGTGGCAAAGACAAGAAGGCAAGAGTTATTGTCTGAAGGAACGAGAATGGCCACAGACCCTCCACGCCCACAGCTGGTTTCCCTTCACGAGGTGTTAACATGCACTTCTGGTGGGAATGAGGGTGGAGAAAGTGGCTGCCAGCTCCATAGAGTCACCTATCACCTCTGACCCCCACGGTACAGCTTGCCTGGTAGCAGCACAGATACAGACAAGGTTTTAACTCCTTAGCTCAGGCAGCCAGGATATGAGCTGTTTTCTGTCCCAGTATTTCACCAGGCTGCTGAAACCAAGACTGCTAGGGGCACAGTGAAGGAGCATCCCACTTCCTCAACAGTGAGTAGGAAAAATGACATTCCTTTTTCCTCTCAACATTTGGCCTAGGCCTCTTCTCATCTCCCTACAAAGACATGGATGTTGCACAATGAACCTCCCTTTACTCTACACCACCAAGGTCAAGAGCGAGGATTATCTTCAGGATAATTCCAGTGTGGAAAACAACCTGGGTAAGAGGTAGCTTCCTTGGCCTTCTTTACTCTGCTTTCCTGATTTACCCTTACACTCCAATTGTTGGCTTACAGAACTAGAGGCTTCCCAGTCATGACTTGAAGCTACTTCCCTGGATACTTTCAACTGGTATCAGTAACTTGGCCCATAGAAGACCTGCTACAAGTAGAAACTTCCCAGCTTTTGACTTCTTGCTCCTTACTATAGGAGCTGCATTCCAGCCTGGTTCTGGAATCACTGTGAATCTTTGCCAAAAGAAAAAAGCTAATGATAAGGAAGAACTCAAGTTTTGTTTTCAAACAGGCCCCAGGTTGCTTTTCCTTTTCATGTGAAAATAGGAGAAAATTTTTGACCAATCGTCTCCCCATACATTTCATGCAGTAAGAACTACCATAGGCCCAATAGACTCTCACTTGGCTCTGAGAAAAGACAGGTATTGGTTGTAAAGTAGTTTTGACTTTGTATTATTTTTCCTAGGGTTAAAGAAAACAAATTAAAGAAAGTAGTGTTTACCTAGATGTGCTTTCTTTTGCAAACCCAGGGTTAAGTGACCTAGCCCCGGGGAGTGGTGTGCTGCAGAGGAAGTGGGCTCAGGCTCAGGGGAAGAGATTTTATGTGAAGAACTTCCTCTCTCTTTCTTGAAGGTGTTCTCTTGACTTTGTGTCTTTCACACCTTTACACCCTGGCAGTGGAAGTCATGAACAACACCAGAGAAGAAAAAATGTCTGGGAAAGGCAATGCTTGTGTGTCTCTGCACAAAATACCAACACTCATATTTGAAAATTTGATGTGCATTAATTGCTGAACACAAGTTTGTTCCATCTTTTGCAATTTCCAATGCTGATCAATACCTGCTTACCCTCTTAATGAAACAACCCCATTCTCTCTTGGCCCTGCTGAGTAAAGAACATACACCTTTTGTGGTCCCTTTACTCAAACTTATACTCTCAAGTATAAGGTACCATCACCTTTGCAGGGAAAGAGCTCAAGACAGCAATGCAGAAAATAAAATGTTGTCACTTTCATTATAACATCCCTTCCTTGCCTTGGAAACACTGGCTTCTCCACAGAGGTGACACGAGGGTGCTGGCCAGGGTGGCCTCAGCCACACCAAGCCCTTAAATACCTGTGGTTTGGGGTGGCACCTGTCCTGCTTTAGGCTGTTTAGTTACATCTACTTTTATGCAGCTCAGAGAAGAAGGAGATACAGATGGATTTATTTCACACTGGCGGCATCCTTGATGCTCTCATTCTTGTAGCATTTTGGTGCAAATATAATCTCTAAAAATAGTCCCAGCCATGACTTGCATAAGGTCAGAGGAAGGCTGGGTACATTACACTGCAATAAAAACACGACTGTGTGAACAATACTTTCCACTGCAAAAGTAACTCTTGTGGAGAAATAGTTGATAAAAAACCCCCTAGCTTAGAGGCACAGGCCTTATTGTTCTCCAAAATACAGAAAGGACTGATGGCAAAGTTTCTGGAGAGAAGCCTGCTTTCACATTGTTGTATGCTGAAATAAACCCTGTCCAAATCATGTGTAGAGAAAGAAAATACATGCTTTGTTTATGAAAAGTGACCATATCACAGCATTCAGATGCAGAATCAGCCTTCCTTGTTATTCAGGCGTTTTTTAGTTTAGTTTATCTCATCTCTAACTTGTATATGCTGTTCTTTTTAGACAAAAGATATCTATTCCTCTCATTGTCAAATCTGTGAACATAGAGAACAGGAAGAAGGGACAGAGAGTTTTTCTGATATTTATCAGGGTTTGAATGCTTCTTCTATTCTGCCATGCCAGTAATCAGGAGCGCTGTATTTTAATTGATAATTTAGTTGGCTGTGGTTTAGTTGATGGTATTATTGCAAGTACACAAACAGCAAACTCAAAATGCTCAGCAGAAAGTTTACAAATTTTGCCTCAGTATGTTTGATACATAACGTCCAGAGGTAGGTGACACACAGATAAGGCAGGTGACAAAACATTTCTCTAAACTTGTACACTTCTTTATTCCATCCAACTTGCAAAATTTCTCAAGGTCTGGTTTAGGAAACAAAAAAACCAAACAAACCAGAAAATTATTATTTCAATCATGTTCAAGCTACTGTGTAAGGAAAGAATGCACATTACAGTCCAGTCTGTCCACTTTGGTAAATATTTTTAGACCATCATGACAGCAAATCAAGTAAGGTTTAAAAATATACAGCTGCTATTTTAACTGCAGCTATGTCTCTGTCTGGAGTGGGCCTTTTCAGTGATAATAAATTACAGTTTATAAACCAATTAAATTTATTTTCAGAAGACACATATTTAATTAATTTGCAGTAAATGAGGCAAAATAATACAAGTATTTTCTCATTTGGCATGTGACTGACCATTTGGCATACTAAGTTCATACATTGTACCTGACCTCCTTACACAGAATCAAGGGATACCTCCCAGTTTGAAGAAACATCAAAAAGGGCCACCAGAAACCCAGATAATGACCCTAAAGAGTGCCTCTGAGATGAAATTGCAAATGAACATAAAACAATCTTTCTAAATTTTACAACATGATAACAAGTTCTTAAAAAAATCTCATGAAAATTCACATCCAAATACTGGAGCCAAGAATGCTGAAGTTATATATAAAGTTACAACAGAAGGAATGTGAATATTTTTGGTGAAGTGTATAGGGTAGATAGGCAATATTCTCTATTTCTTTTAACCCTTGTTACCTAATATATAATGTTTATCTCATATTTATCATACTGAAATCTTGAGGGGAATAGTTATCAATTTTCTTACAATATAAGTATTTTCATGTCAGCATATTTACTATCTTAGATCTAACCATGTTCACAATAATTAATTTATCTTTGCAATACTATAGAAGCACTGGAGGTTGAAAAATACTATTACTTCTATTTGGCAGACGTAAAATTTAAGTTTAGAGAGATGAAAATCTGTAGAATTAAATATGGTGTTTTATACAAATATGTAAAGCCAAGCAAAAATGCCAAGCATAGAGATGCTCAGGTTTATGTTTCACCTGCAGTTGCATGCCTCTTGCACAAAAACTTTGGCAGAGCCAGCTGTAGAATCACATTTTCTAGGACACCAAGTAAGTCTTCTTTAACTAGTTATTTTCTTTTCTCTTCATGCACTGCTCTTCCTCAATCACTACTTGCTTAACAACCTTGTCAAGAAATCAAGCTTGGGTCTCCTTTTGCTAAATAGATATTTCTTAGAGGTGAGGACAAAATCACTATGCCATTGGAAACCATACTGTACTGCATTTATACATGAATCCCAGGAGCCCAAGTTTTCTTAAGTCCTCTTCTTAGACACAAAATAAAAGGCAAATCAAAAAATGGCACCACCTGGAATCGTGGGGACCTCTAAATAAGCTGAACACCACACCTCAACATCCACAGCAGGGTCACTTACAGCTTGAATGACCCCCTTGGCACTCAGCACAGTGGGTCACTGTCCTTCATGGCACTCCTGCTCTGCAGTTGCCATTCAGACTGACCTTGTACATACAAGTTCCCAGCCAAGCTTTAAATAAGGCAGGCAGTGAGTATGGTATGGCTCAGAGCTGCTGGAAAGGGAGAATTAAAGGTGTAGATGAAATCTTCCTCAATAACACTGATAGTGAGCATAAACAACACCTACTTTTGAAGTGACCTTGAACAAATTCACATGGATTTTAAAGGGTCCTTTGATTCCAGGGCAATCCTGGTGAACTTCAAATCCTTAGCGTAAGACATGGGGAGGACTATGATTTTCTGTGAAACAACTGACTTGTTGGGTAAGCCCAACAATGGAAGGATGAAGCTGTGACAATTCGGGAACTACTGCCTGTATTTCCTACCTGGAGATCATCTGGATGAGGCCGTGGTGTTTCATGGCAATAACCACTATTTCAGAGTTACTGAACAGGTTGGAATTGCTTTATACTGAAGAAAGAAATCCACTGTACAGTTCATCAGTTGGGCAAGGAATTCAATCCATGCTCCTTGCCTTTCTTCTGGAGCTTGCCTGTTGCTCAGGTTCTGAGAACAGCACATCAGCTCCCTACACCTGACCTGCAGGACCATGGAGATCAAGAGAAGCTGTTGCACCATCAGGCCTCCTCCTTGCCTGGAAAAATCTGTGCTGCACATGGGCAGTAAAGTGGCGCCAAAAATCTGCTTGTGCAATTTCTGGTGAAATGCACGAAAGCTGTTACAGGAGGAGCAGGGACACTTCAGAGCAGTGAGGCACAGGTAAGACAGGGAACCCTTCACTGCACTCCCCACTAAAAGACCTGGATCAGCAATGTTTCTTGCTCCTCCCTACCTGGTTCAATGTAGCCATAGCTCATCTGAGAGAAACCCACCCAAAAATTCCAGGTGCTGAAATGGTCCCCTGGGCTGGTGGCATAGTGCAGGATAGCTCAGCATCAGCATCATGTGCTGGGCTTGCTGGGGAGTCCTGTGGGGAGGCAGATCAGCAGGCTGTGACATGGAGCTGCTCTGCTGCTCCTCAGACATGTCAGGAGTCCCTGTGCTGTCCTTGGTAGACACAGTCAAGCAAACTTTCACTTTGCATTGGTAACTAGGAAATAGGTTTGGTCTTGGTTTGAGTTCAACAAGTGCTTTAAAAGAATGGGTCCAGTTTCGTTGCAGTTTAAGAAAAAAAAAGGAAGGGTAATGGTCCAAACCATGGGGTTTTTTTTCTCTTTGGGCTCAGGTTCAATTTTATGCTCTGGTAACAATCTCATTAACATACTTTTCTGAAAGGTGTCCGGTGTATAGAATCTCAGAGCTATTTGTTAAGATCTAAGTAATAAAATAAAAATAAAAGAGATTAATTAATAAAAATTGCTAAGCAGTCACAATACTAAATGGTACAGTAGTACCTTTAACTATTGAAATTCTTACTTCATCATTCATTCAGTCTAGATTACCAACATAAAGTTTGCAGTCTCAATCTACAAATCTCATTTTAAGTATAAGCACTTTTGCCATGAAATTGCTCTTCCCTTTCCTCTGACCCTTACTGTATCTCCTTGTCTTCTCTGAGTTTCCTGAAAATAACAGAAATTTAATTTTTGATTTATCATCTGATCTGCTGCTGAAGCTTCCATCTTACAATCAGCATTTTAGTTTTTTTTTAAATCCTGCAAACAGTGCTGCAAACTACAGCTAATTCACTGAATATATTATGGAGGGTTTTTTTTAGAGTAGTATGTCACAGAAGTGCTCACAGTTACCAGCTGCCTCTGTTTTAGAGTGTCATTTAAGACATCTCATGATTATTCTATTTCATCTTAATTACAAAGGCTGTTTTGAAGATGTCTTGATTTTCATAGCTTGCTACAGTAACCATTACATTGCACCAAGGTTTGTACAATAAAACCTCCAACTCTATTTACAAAGCCTTACCTTGATCATAGAGTCCCTGTGCACGTACTAAACACTTCTCTCCTGGTTGTGCTCAGCTGGGCTGAAGTGAGGTGGGTGAGGGAGACCTGCACGCAAAGAAAGGGAAGAGAACAGAAGGACACGGAGCAAGCCCAGGCAGAAACATCAAGTAGTTTTGGGATGTTAAAAATAAAACCCGTGCATGTGACCATGTAGCTCAGCTTACAGAGCTGTCTCTTCCACTGTATTTGTTAACTCTGTCACTCCTGGAGTGATACTTCACAGACAAGTGGAGAGGCAGAACCAATAGTACTCTGTGGCCCCTGCATGAGAGGAAAAGATTGAACCCCTTCCCCAGCCCTGTATCAGCTCCCTGATGCTTTCTGATGGAGGTTTGCCCTTGGTGCCCACACCAGTTTGTGGTTTCTGCAGTTGGAATTGTCACCCCATTCCCACTGTCACTGGACATAGCAGCTGGCACAGACAGCAGTGGTGGTTTTCTGATCTGTCCAGGCAGGACAGATCAGAAGGAGAGGAGAGGAGAGTGGGAATGGCCCAGACTTGAGCAGCTGGGCAAAGGTGCCTGCCCTCCTCCTGGGGACCCCCAGGAAACTCCCAAGCTTCAATCCCTCCACTGCATAGTGAAAAGGTCCCACCAGCCACCAAGAGTAAGCCTTGGTACAGCTCCCAGCACCACCTTCCTCAGCCAAACCTGGGGAAGCAAAGGAGCAAAGGAGAGCAGTCATGTTTTACTGCAGGCACAGACCCATTACGGCACTTCACGGTGACTTCCACGGTGAGCACTTCAAACTGATGGTGCCAGTGAGGTTCAGGGGCTCAGATGGGGCAGGACCTGCTTCTCCCTGGTGGGTGCTCACCCTGTTTGGCTGCAGACATCCCTTGTGACCCTGCTGCTGTTTGCTGCCACCTCTCACCGCCTCAGAAACACAGAACAACGCTTTTGGCTGTGGTGGCCTTGAGTTCCTAAATCATGATGAACTTGATACTTTGCCTTATCTTTCTCTTTCCCTGTCTGTGAGTCCCCAGTGACTCTCATGGCTTGAAACATTGCAGGCAACTGTTTTCATTTTTAGGGCTGAACAAAATGTCAGTGGGTGACAACCAAGGCTTGCTGGTGCCAATTGCAACTTAGTAGAGCTAAATATGGTCAGCAGTCTGGCTCCGTGGCCTTTTTTAGAAAGGGCTGTATTATCATGATACCATTTTCTGGCATCCCATTGCACTGGGGAGAACAAGAGCCAGGGGTATTTTGCCTAAACTTGAATTTAACCCAATCACACGTGAAGGCTGATCTATTTACTTTGTCCACTTCCACTCTTCCTCCCCCAGCTCAGGGTCATTTGTCAGCCTTAAATGTTGTTGTCATCTTTTCAAGCTGTGTTTAAAACCATGCTGAGGGTGTGCCTTGCTTTTGCATGAAGGAAAAGTCTACTCAAAATTGTGTATTGGTTTAAGAGAAAATTCCCTCCAGCTGAATTAACTCAGATTACAAAAACACTCAGGGCTTCAGAAGTTGTCTGAAACGGAGCTACCTTCTGTCTTAATTTTACCAGCACCTGATGTCAGCCTGATCTCAGATATCTTTGCTTTCAGACAGCTGGAACTCTGGTGGTGCTTTTTGCTGTTTCCATGCCTTATTCCATGATCACACAGATCCAGACAGCCTGGGCCTGCCTCTTTCTCTCTCTCTGGTAGGCTTCCTCACAGCCTCACCCCACACAAGGCCCCAAGTTTTGCAAATCTTTGCCTGCAGGTGATAACTGTGATTCAAAAAGGTGTCATCTGTGGTGGCTGTTAAGGGCAGGTTATCACAAGACATGCTGAATGAACATAGTTCACCACGCCTTAAAATATGTACTTGGTGGGGAGAAGGGAGAAGAGCAGAGAGACAGGAAACAGGAATTCATCCTTGTACCTGCACTGCATTAGCTCAGTTGCACCTGAAACCGGACTTTCATCAAAACCAGGAGAACCTGAAGGTATCTGCTCCCACCCATAACTGTGCTAATTTGATTCAAGGTATATCAGGAATGCCAGCCAATACTGTAACCAGACCTCCTGCTGCATTACAGATGTGCTTAGGTAGGGTGCAAGAAATGTGAAATCCCTGAAAGGAAAGTGAAACTGGTGTTTTTTTTTTTTTTTTTTTTTTTTTTGGTGCAAATGCTTTGGGAGAAAGCTGTTGCCTGTCTGCTTTAATCTATCTTATTCACTGGGTAGAAATGCTGTGCTTCTATATGAAGCCCTGTGAAATATACCGATGTGTGTACGTACACAAATATATGTATCTATTGATGTGGCAAAATTGTCTGAGATCTGGTAGCCTGAGAGAGGTGAGGCTCCTGCAGCCCCATGTTCATGTTCAAGTAATAGCCAGACACAGTTTGTATTCCCAATAGGCACATGCATGAATTTTCATATGCACCAATTAAGCAAATACACATGGTCACAGATTACACATCCATCCACACAGAGCACTCCCACACAGCACTGACAGCCTCATCCCACGCCCTGCTCCAGCTGAGCAGGACAGAAGTGCATTAGTGAGCCTCTGTGTCCATCTGTGTATTTACAGAAGAATTTACACTCGTGTACAGCGGGTCTCCTTCCAGCAGCTGCCTCAGGCAGTGCCCAGGAGCTGCCCCTCACTCCCAACCTCTCCAGCCCCCAGCAGCAGCTCCCTGTGGTGTTCTGACCACGAGTTCCTCACGCAGGGCAAAGTGCAGAAGGAGTTTAATGAGAAGATCTGACAGGCTGCGCTGATCAGGTGCAGGACATGGACAAATCATCACAAACCATTTACACAGGACTGGCCCTTTTTATTCCTGTGTGCTGTATTTGTTTCTCTATGTGACCTAGGTCATCCTGGCTCCTGCCCTAATCACTCCCTAACGAGTCCTGTGCAATCCCCAAATGCTCTTCCCCTGCGTCTCATCCTGTCCCACACCCCTGAAGACAGCAACACCCCCAATGCTAAAGGTGCTCTGGGGCTGAGGCTCCCCTGGGATGGCACTGGACAGAGTGTTCTTTTCTCTGAGTCCTTAGTTTGGGTTTCCACCTGCCACTGTGCCCCTCGAAATGGGCCTTTACTGGGCTGATGGCTCCTGGGACGGGCCTGGAAGCAGCCTGGCAGGTGCTGCTTGGGCTCCCCCTCCTGCCATCACCGCCTGTGCTCCTGTGTGGGTGTGCGGGCCCGCCTGTGCCACAGAACGCGCTGCCCGTGTCTGCCGCGGCGCACACCGTGGCTGGCCGCGGCCTCCCCGGCCCGCGCCTCTGTCCGCCCGCGGCACAGCGAAATGGCTCCGCGGCCGCCGCACCCGCAGTGACGCGGTCTGCGCTGACACCGAGGCCACCGCTAGGGGACCTGCATTAATTCAAGTGGAGACATCAGCCCGCTGCGTTATCCTGGGCCGCACCAGCCCCGGGAGCATCCCTGCCCCTTTCAGCACTTCCCGGCACGGAGCTCCCTGGCGGCGGCGCTGGCGGGCGGCGCCTTGGGGCCTAGCACCGCCGTAACATTGACGGCTGCTGCGCCATCGCCACCGCCGCCTCCGTGTCCCGGTACGCCACCCCACCGGCCGGCCGCCGCCGCCCCTCAGGCGGGAAAGGGACGCGGCACCTCCTCCCCGCTCCCCAAACCCTCCGAGGCGCGGCGCAGCCGCCCGTCGCACTACAACTCCCGGCGTGCCCCGTGAGGGAGAGGCGCGCCCGCGTGGGGGCGCGCGCTGCTTGCCGGGAGTCGTAGTCTTTCCTTCGGGGCCGCGCCGTCCTGAGGAGGGCGCCGCCGCTGCCGGCCGGTCTCGCCGGAAGGGCTCTCCCTCCCAGAGGGCGCCGCGGCGCGCCGCGCGCGTGCGCAGTGCCGCCGCCAGCCAGCGCCGGGCAGGCAGGGAGGGAAGGAGGGAGGCAGGGAGGGAGCGGCGCTCGCGCGCCTCGGGCCCGAGAGGAGACAGCGCGGTGCCGCGCCGGGCCGGCAGCAGGTACGGGGGCGGGGGGGAGCCCCGTTACCTCGGCCCCGGCGGGGCGAGCGTGACGGCAGCCGGGCGGTGCGCGGGGCCGCGTCCCCGCGGGAGGAGGGACCGGGCGGGGATCGGCTGCCGGCGGCTCGGGTTGTGTGTGTGTGCGGGGGAGGGAAGGCCCGGGCCGGGGGTGCCGCGCGCGGCGGGAGCCCTCTCGCGAACCCCCGGCCCGCGCGCGCGCAACAGGCGCGCGGGGGCCGCGCGCGGGGCGGGGCCGGGCCCGGCGCGGCGGGAGCGGCGCGCGCGTGGGCCGGGATTGGGACCGGGACCGGGACCGGCACCGGCACCGGCACCTCGCGGGGAGCTGGGAACAGACGGGCCGGTCCTGCTCTGCCCAGGGAGGGGCCCCTCGTGGCCGGAGGGACTCTCTTGGCTCGTGCCGGTGGCGGGGCCGCGCGCCGGCTTTGGAAGTCACCGTGGCTGGCTGCGCGGAGTCGGAGAACTCGGTGCCGCGGGGACGGGATGGCCCGGTGCTGCTGCTCCCACGGCGGGACGGGGTGGGCAGAGGCAAGGCGTCAGCTGGACGAGACGACATCGTCTTAAGCTGAGCCAAGGGAGGTTTAGCTTGAAGATCAGGTGGAATTTTTTCACGAGAAGCGTGGTTAAGCATTGGAATGGGCTGCCCAAGGAGATGGTGGAGCCATCGTCCCTGGAGGTGCTTGAGGAAAGACTGGATGTGGCACTCGTGGCACTCGGTGCCGTGGTGTGTTTGACATGGTGGTGTTGGGTCACAGTTGGACTCGGTGATCTGAGATGTCTTTTCCAACCTGATTGAATCCGTGGAGGGGAAGGGAAACTTTCTCCTGGGTCTTCCAAGCTTCTTTTTTTTTTTATTTTATTTTTTTTTTTCTTTGCTGTGTTAGTTTTGTGATTTACAAAAACTCTGCCATCTCCCTGCAAATATCACCCCGTAGCCTTCATTATCTCACTTATGTTATTTTTTTGACTGCCTGTATACGATGACAGGTTAGCTCTTGGTAGCCGTTTCCAGCCGTGTGCTTTTCCAGAGACTTTATATGCAACAGGAACCCGTCCCATTCATAGTCTCTAAATCTTGTTGCCCGTAGCACGGTCCATGTAGCAATGATTTTAAGTTTTGCCTCTTGAGGGCGTTTCATGAAAATGAAACTCCGGGCTGAAAAGATACGTCATGAGCTGTGAAAATACCGGGCTGCTGTTTCTGCAGAATTCCCAAATGGTGCTGAATGGTGGTGTTTAATGGTCCCTTTATCCTTTATTCAGGCTGCTTTTCCTCTGGGTTTTTTTGTTTGCTGGCGTATTTTCTGCTCTGACTGCTTGATGTTAATGAAAG